CTTACGACACCCGCAGTTGGAGATTCTGATGGATGGATGAACGCTGGCACCAAATGGACATTGAGCATTTATCGCACCTAACAAAAGTACAGTGTGCTAGGTAGTTTAATTTCTGCCGCCATGCAGCAGTGTGCTGATGTGTTCCTGGCTAAAGGCTATAGAGAACCAGTATAAGTACGGGCTGTGGGGAATTTTAGTACTCAGAGGTGACAGACAACGCACCTCTAACAAGTCCGTTGCAGGTGTATATAGGCTGCTAGCCATTTACCATGCGGTGAACTGTAAATTCGTTTGTCACATCAATTTTGTATAAAAGGTGCATGATTTCAATTAAAGTAGTGCATGAGTCCTAGTGAAGTACGTGGTAGAACTATACCTTAACTATATAAGTTGTAGCACGAATGAGGCTCGAAAGAGGTAGAATCACGCTCTCACAGAATGCCAGCGTAAAATAGCAGCTTAATGCTGCTGTGTTTCGTATGGTGAGGGTATAGAACTGGAGACACTTTTTACTGGAAACGAGACATTCCATCTTGGTTCTCAGGGGTGACAACGCATCTGTTAATGAGTTACATCATCCACTTATCATCAGGTGGAGTGTGTACTCGTTCGTCACCCTTATTCTATAAAAAGGAGACTTATCTGCAGTCAAAGATACAAATAAAATTAATTCATGAGATGAATCTATGTTTTTATAAATAATATGTTCCATATTTTTTGTTTTTAGGGTTCCGTACCTCAAAAGGAAAAAAACGGTACCCTTATAGGATCACTTTGTTGTCCGTCTGTCTGTCTGTCTGTCTGTCAAGACCCTTTTTCTCAGGAACGCGTGGAGGTGTCAAGCTGAAATTCATATCAAATACTCAAGTCTACTGTCCCTTGGAGGTGTGAAAAAATCAAACTTCTAAGCCAACGCAGTCAAAATATACAGCCGTTTATGCCGCAAATTTTCGACATTCGCAAGGGAATCAAAACCTACAGGGTACTTCCCGTGAACTAAACATGAAACTAAACTAAATAAAAATATTTTTAATAATTTTAAACTTATATACCTACGGATTTGTTCGGAACCCTCGGTGCGCGAGTCCGACTCGCACTTGGCCGGTTTTTAAATAGTGAGTTACATGACAAGCGAGCACACAGTCCAAGTAGTAGTAAACGGATGCTGCTGCACAATCAAAATGCAAATGCATTGTGACCCCAGAGGACTACGATGGTATGCCTCTACACTTTGGATGTTGTCTACACTCATTATACGAAACACAGAATTTTTCTACAGTACCCGGTCGAACCAACCTATATGTACTGCATCATATTATATAGCTGCACCTTAGCACTAATCTACTACGTATTAAAGTAAAGAAATTGACGTACTTACATCCCAGTTCATCGAAAAATTTTGATTTGTGTCTGCTTGTATCTAAATTGACTTCCTCATTATCACCTTTTAATGTACTTTCCACTTGAGTATCACTTTTAGTTGCTTTGTCACTGTGTTTATACACTTTGGCGTCACTTTTATGAATCACTTCTTGTAAACTCACTGGTACCCAAAGTTTATTAGTTGATTCGTGTTTTAAATTTTTTAACAGTCCGTTATTGTCTAAAACTGTTATATCTTCATAATGATTAACGACATCCGATTCTTTACCGACGCCTTTTAGAATTTCTGAGTTTAATTTCTTTTCATTTAAAAATCGTAAAAGTCCCGCGTTTCCGTTATTGTATACCATGTTTTTACTATCGAACAAATTTTTGTTTACTACATCTGTGTTTTCTTCTGCACTGTCGCAATTAACATGTGCTAACTTTTTTAATAAATGAATAAATATCACTAATTTAGCAGAGGAAATTATAATGTTATTCATCATAAAGCTTTATGGGTGTTTGTTTAAGTTTAAAAACAAAATAAAATCCTAATTTTTTTAGTAATAGTGGTATGGAAAAAGGAACACACACAATGTCTATCACTGACTTGCCTTGCAAAATTCAGTAGTAATTAATCACTTAAACCAAAATTTAAAAACACTGTAAATTTAAGGAAATTAAAAACACACTTCTTCTATGCTTAGTATCGGAAAGAAGTACTGAGGTAAGGAGTGTTCTTACAGAAACATCTTAGGTTAGAATCGATACTTTTACAAGTGACGAACTATTGATAGGAGAGTTACAGATTTATATAAAAAAGCGAAAGTGTACGACGGCCGCGAAGCTGGGAGGCGGTTTCGCGAGTGGTCGAAATTCGATCGTTGACAACTAAGTTTGGAGAAATGTGTTTACATAACGTTTATAACAGCTACAAATATATTTGCCTATGACTCCTCAGAAACAATTAAAAACTTCTTAAGTGGTCCTTACTACGGAATGGACCATTAAGACGCGTCTACTGTAGCCAAATGAAGTTCCTTAAATATAAACGTACAACATACACAAACTACTGGGAAAAATATAGTTGACTGTGTCGTTGACACTATCGTGTTAAGCGTGACGGCTTGGATGAAATGGATAAAAAATGTTTTACAGTTCACTACGAATCATTTTCTGTTAGAATTCATATTCACGCATAGGAACAATATTATTTATTTATTTAAACTTTTATGCACAAAAGAAAAATCGTATATATAGCGGAGTTAATGTCTTAAGGCATTCTCTCCCAGTCAACCATTAGGCTAAGAAGAGATAAACATATGGGAGGTAGTGCTGCAAATAAATCAGAATATATATATATATATAGAATACTTATATATATATATATATATATGTGAATGTGGTCTCTCTTATATAGGACAAACTAAAAGATCCATAAAAACCCGCGTTAAAGAACACATAGCTGATGTGAAGAATCAACGCTCCGGGAAGTCTGCAGTCTGTGAACACGTACAGGATCGCCCCCGTCACTACATTAGATTTGACAGACCACAAATGCTCGTTAAAGAACACCGATTCCTTCCAAGGATGATTCGCGAGACTATTGAAATCAAAAAAACATCCTAATTTCAATAGAGAAGATGGCTGGGTGCTACCATCTGCTTGGGATCACATAATTAATAAAATTAAACCCGAACTCAAGCATACAACTGTAAGATACTGTAAGTTCATACTGCGTAGATCGGAACAAAAATTAATAATTTTTAATCTCGATGTAGCCGTGGCTAACTATGACATTGGGACGTCATACACCTCAGACCGCCCCCCCCCCCCCCCCCCCCCGTGACCATGGTAGCTGTAAAGTGCTCGTAACGTCGGGAATATAAAATAAGTTAATATACGCGATAAAATCCGTAAAAAATAGTTTTCTTTAAATATAGAATATTATTTTTTATACGTAATTCACTATTCTTCAAAAGTGAGTAACATATGCATTAGATTCTCAAGTTAGTATAGGGCATCATTAAGTTTATTGTAAACATAGTTAAGTATACACACTTATTTCTCACAATCAAGTATAGTTGCGCATGTAATAGTTATACATTTGTGACAATTTATTCGTACAATATTTTCGACATTTCGTTATTTATCTTGCAAACTTTAATTAAGCTTAGGATAGATATTCTACTAAATGCAAATGTCGTGTGGTCTGTGGCCTATCACATAACAATCAAAGAAAGAAAAACATACATAAGTTAAAGAGTTTTCATCTGCGTAGGCTAGTTGGTAGGAACTGGATGCGTGCAGCCAAAGACCGGGCTTAATAGCGCGCCTTGTGAGAGGCCTATGTTCAGAATAGTCTGCCGCAAGTTGGTGATGATGATTTAACCATAAAATTTTTGAAATACTGCGACATCTATATATAAAATCTAGAAATAAAAAATTCATGGGGTAAAATTAATATTAACAGATCCGTGGAGCAGCAGCTTAACTTGAGTTGCGGCGCTGTGGGTTGCGGGTTTGAATCTCGCACGAAATAAAATTGCAAAAAAAATATTGAAAAGAATATAGATTTATACAGAATACTAGTTTTTTGTTCAGCGATGTTGTCCACGTCCAAGTTATAACGTTTAGACAGTCAACGTACGGTTATTATGAGATCGCACAATATGGAAAGCTCTAGTTACGAGTATCACATATTTTAGAATGATAACGATCGCAGATTTTAAGTTAGACTACGGCCTTTCGTATAGTGAAAACATTCGGTCTTACATGCTTTCTCTTTGTATGTGTCTCTTTGTTTTCAATAAATCATTTTCTGTACGCTTGCGGAACTCCTTGCCTCAATCTCTTTTTTTCTTTAAAATCTACTCAAAGCTTATTACTTGGAACTCTAATATTTCCCGTCACTTATTTTCCTGTCACTATCCTACTTTCATCAACTGTCATCATCATGTGTTTTTATAATAATTATTTTTTAACTTAATTGTGTGACATATGTACATTTCCCTTTTAGTCATTAGTTGTGAATAATTCTTTGCGTAAAATGGTTGGGTTTAAATTTTTGAAAAAAAAATTAAAAATAGATATATTGTTTTCATTCAAGATATTTTGATACTTCATTCAACAGTAGTGCACTACGTTTAAGTAAAAAAAAGAAAAAAAACTTTCATTATTTTTCTTCATACAAATTTGAAAACCATCTGGTTTTAAGGGGTTGTTTTAAAAATCGCAAAATACGTATTTCATTTATTTTATTTACAGAGTACTTTTACTATGCTTCGAGTCAATCGCCCTGTAAAATAAATCATACAAACTGAAACAACTTAATTCACTCTTTTAGGTGTTGAATTTTCAAAAACCCTTTAGCAGTTACTTCTCAAATTTTGGTTTTTTCGTCAAGCGGTTTGGACTGTGCGTTGATAGATGTTAATCAGTTAGTCAGTATATAAAAAAGGATGTCACTCAGGACATCCTCTTTAATATAATTTAAAGATGTAAAAGATAAACTAAAAATACGTTCACTTAAAAGTTTTATTACTTAAAAAATTCTGTTTAATTTATTTTAGAACAGTGAGTAACAGTGTTTAACATTGTTAGATATAATATATTATATTTTAATATTTTATAGATTATAATTTACTTATTACACTCTTGGCCATCTCTCGTAAATGCTTTCGAAGGATTTTTCCACTAGGATTCTTTGGGATCTCTTTCACAAACTTCACACCACCTCGTAAACGTTTTGGGTTTGACAACTGAAAATAAAGCGCTGTAATAATTTTATGGTGACGCAATGTTAACTATAAATATTATCAATCGCTTTCACAGTTATAGTTTAAGAAACAGTTGGTCGAGTAAAGTGGTAGAAAATCAATCATGTTTCAGTTTGAACTGCTATTATTTGAATGAAATTCAACTAGAATCTGAAAATATCCAGACTGCTGACGGAAGGTGTCTTACATGATATTCTGTCGTGTCAAAAACTGATGTGGTGGCGCTATCATTGCGCTACACTCGAAGCGTACCGAAGTCTAAATCTATGCTATCGAAGATTCCAATTCCGAAGTACTGCTGCATAAAGAAAATAGTTTTGTACTAGTACACTGAGCGTCGACCGCTCTCCGGGTTAAACAACTTGCCGGAGGGAGATCTTCCCTTTTTCTTCCACGGCCAAAATTCTATTTATACTATAGTTGTGTTGATTGCCAACACAATCGGCAATGCAGTGATGACGTAAAGATTATTGCAAATTTATCTTAGTGGAAGAATAATGACCATTAATAATTAATGTTGAAATGACAAAATGTTTTATTATGCATGTTTGTAATGAATATACACATTAAAGGAAAACAATAAATGTATTGTGGCGGCATACAAAAATCTATCACTCTATTTTCATCCCATGAGTGTCGTAAGAGGCGACTACAGCCTATGAGAAATGTCCGACAAATCTTGTAGCTTCTGATAGATGGCGGTGTAATCAACCCGCTAACGCGAGGCGCAAAATACCTGAACTGGCGACCGACAGCAGAGTCAGTAATTAAATTACTGTATAAAAAGAGTTATTATAATATAAATTAATACACATTGGGTCTGTGGCTGGTTGTTCCAGGTGTTTTCCAAACCGCGGGAAAGTAAAAAATGACTTACAATAAAAATTACATAATTGTGATCTACAGGGTTATTTTTCAAAGAATAGCCAAATTTTAAACTTAAGTTCAAATATATACTAAATAGTGATATACCGTTATTGCATTTTTTGATAATACGAGTAAATAAGGCTTCTACTTTTATTTGAAATTATCCCAAATTGAATGTGAATGAGCAACAACTACGCGTACGCGTGCTCCTCTGTGTGCGATTTAATTCTCATTTTTGCCGACCGATCGACCCTTACGAATGTGTGCGTGCGTAGTAAAATAGTAGAAAATCAATTAAAATAATGTATTACCACACATTTTGGATTTAAAAGATAAAAAGGAAAGAATGTTTGAGATTTTTTTAATAAATTTTTCTTCAGCATTTGACTATATTACTTATTTTGTACCTTCTCTGCATATTTGGCCCGTTATTGCAAAATAGCCATGTACACTGAATCAAAAAATATTTTATTTTATTTATTTTATTTTATCCGTCAGCCAAATGTAGCGATTATGGGAACTCATTACTAGAATGTAAGTGGCCTATGTCCAGCTGTGGACTTTACAGAGCTATAAAGAAAAATACTTTCATATAATCCACTTTACTAGGTGGAAAAGAAATTGTCCTAGTTAAAAATAATCACAAACACACCCTTTCAGCTACAAATTGCTGCAGCTCGGTCTCGGAGAGCGTAGCACCGGGTTGAGGTACTACAAATGCGAGAGGCACCTCGCCTGCTGCTGCATTGGGGAGTCCCACCACGCCTACGTCCCGAACGCCATCATGTTTGAGGAGTACTGCTTCTATCTCCATTGGTGCTACCTGATACATACAGAAATTAGGAGTAGTTTGTAATAGTATAATAGTAATAAGTAAGGGTCCAAGAAAATATACAAGGTATCTCTATTATCAAGTTTAAATATTTAATTAAACGAAAGCTGTCTGTATGTATGTACTAGGAATGAGGTGGTCGCTTCCAAGCTGTTTCTAAAATATGTGAAATTTATTTTAAAAAAATCCCGCTGGTTCTTCCCAGGACAGAGATTTTTTTCGAACCAGTGGTAAAGTAAAAAAATTACTTTCAAAAAGAATTACTTGTAATCAATATTGAATAAAAAATATTCTATTCTATCCTCTCGTTCGTGTGAGTTTTGGTGCGGTTAATAAACCATCGCGCTGTCTTAAATGTTAGGTGAACTTGTCGAATTCGGAAAAAATATTTATTTTAAGATAAATTTGTAAGATATTTAAGTTTTCTCACTCTCACTGGCTCTAACTCATTGCACCCCGAGAGGCCTGTGTTCAGCAATTGACTTATAAGTTGCTGTATGAATTGATATAGATGTTATGGACTATAATATTAATATATATATTAGCCTATATATGCAAATCTATACACATAAATAAAATTGAAGTATCTGTTGGTAATGTCAAAATAACATCTTTTACTAAATGCATATGAATATAACAAAAAAATGTCTGTCTGTATGTCGGTCTGTCTGTCAGTCTGTCTGTCGTTCTGTCTGTCGGTCTGTCTGTCGGTCTGTCTGTCGGTCCGTCTGTCTGTCTGTCTGTTTGTTCCGGCTAATCTTCTAAATGGCTAAACCGATTTTGACGGGACTTTCACTGGAAAATAACAAATGTCATAAGGAGTGATTGAGGCTAACTTTATTTTAGAAAAACAATTAATGTCCCATGCAATAAAAAAAACCCATGAAATCCAACAGTAATAAATTCTACGCGGACAAAATCGCGAGGAACAGCTAGCAGCTATTTAATATATCACTAAAAGATATTCCATTTTACTAGTAACTAGGAAGGGGTTTGTCATTCATCATTAAAACACAGCAGCAATATGCTACTATTTTACGTTTTATTTTGCAATAGCGTGGTTTTCCTGGGCCGAGCCAACCCATTCGTGATACAGCCATTATATAGCTTTAGCGTGACTCTACTACGTTAGAAATATATTTGTGGACTGCAGCTATAGTTATATGTGGTTCTAGCTGAGATTGAAACCAAGACCTGTGGTGTTGTAGTCCAGCAATCCGAGCTCTCTAGAGCGTGTATTACTCCGATAAAATTCCACTGCTAGATATTAGTCTCTTACGTGGATGATCTATTCCGAGGCGCCACATCGCATTGGCAGATGTCTTGCACCTTTGACGATGCTTCCCGTCACCAGTCTGGATTTTTTGTATTTTTTAAAGATATGAGAAATTTAAGCATTTTCCATAGTCTCATTTACGACACCCATGGGGACGAAATCGGATAATAGATTCTTACGTTGCCACCACATGTTGAATATTTTTAGAAACGATTTTACGTTATAAAACATTTATGGAACACAGTAAACTGTTAGAAGAAAATGCAAGAAAACACCAAAATAGATTGACTTTGGCTACACCAAGTTATCCAGCTGATTATTTCTCCCTTGCCAATGTGTACTGATGCTCACGATTTGTTGCCTACCATTATTTTATAGTACAATGGTTATCAACCGAAAGCAAGGCAGGGAGTCAAAACAAGAACTGTTATTAGAAACTAAAAATTAAGATTTAATACTTAAAAGTCAATGCGCTTCCTTTTAAAAATCTATAATCTACATTATGTTTTATACATATATTCTATTATGCGTGTATGGAACAACTAAATAGTTTTAATTTTTTTTATAGAATAAAGGTGAAAAACGAGCACACTCTCCAACTGCTGGTAAGTGGTTGCTGTGGCCCATAGATATCTACATTTATCCTCGATCAAGAATCAAAATGCAGATCCGTTGTTACCCCTGAGGACTAAGATGGAGTGCCTCGATTCCAGTAAGAAGGGTCTCCGGTTCTCTACACTTACCATACGAAACACACCAGCATTGAGCTGCTATTTTACGCTGGTATTCTGTGAGAGCGTGGCCCTACACCGGTCGAGCCGACCCATTCGTGCTGCAACCACAATATAGCTACAGCATGGCTCTACCACGTACAGTCACACTGGATATCTCCATTATTGTAATATATATTACAGGCTAATGATACAAAGAAACAATTAAACTTCTCTGATTACCTGATAAGCTTTGTACTTTATAAGTTCTTTCAGTCGATCTACTATAAAGAAATATTTCTCGTCGTCGTAGTAACCGATGTCGCCAGTTTTGAAGAAACCTTCCTCGTCGAAATCATCACCGCTATTATTTTCTTTTCCTATGTAGCCTTTCATTATCAGGACTCCTTTCACGCATATTTCACCTGTCTGATTTGGACCTAAGGGTTTTCTCGTTTTTATATCTACAACCTGGAACAATAAGGTTAAGTATTTTTTTTATTATTATTAATGACAGCAGTATTTTTATTTCATCTCACTGTGGCTGGTTGGTCTTACTTGTACTTGCACATTGAGAATGCATAAGCTTTGAATGGAAAGTAAAAGAAGAAAAGTTGCTTGTAGTGATATAAGAAAATAATTATTGTGTCCTTTCCTAAGCAGCAAATTAATGCTCGCGCGTCTTTGTGTGTTAAAACTAAGCCTACTAACTGTTTAGTTAGTAGTTATGTTTATCGTACAAGATAGTAGTTTTAGTTTTAAAATACCAGACGATTTGCTCCATCGAAGTTGCTATCCTTCGTCGGGCTTTTTTTTTTGCCGGTCTATGAAATCTTTCTGTAATTTACATAAACTACTTTGATGACACCTACAGTAGGTATCAAATTATGGATCTCTTGATTCTGCTTCCAAATCAAATAACAAGTCTAATATAATTTATGATGATAGCAAAATATTAAGTTACTCTTGATTTCTGAACCTTGAAAAGGCCATAGTCATAATAAACAAACGGTTAATCTAAAGTGATGCTCATGTCACCCATAACCAACCTTACTGTCGGTTATGCCATCTATTGAGTACGTTGCGTTAAGTTTAGTGTAGCGATTACCAAACTTCCTTACATCGTTGAGAATTACTCTGAATCCAGTCTTCTGCTTTTTAGCCTATTTAAGTTTACATCTAGACATTAACCTTAAGAATACGGCAGCTGGCATGCATTTCTTGAAGTTGAGATTTGCCGATACTAACTCCACTGAGCTGGCGTGAGAAACACCGATTACTACACCAGTCTGTGAAGAGACATGAGCAGTATAACCAGAGCAGAAGTGACAAGAGGCTGCTGACTACGGGCTGATCATAATGAAGACATCATCACCAACTTCTTGAAGCAGTGTCAAAGATGCGAAAAGTCTTGTTGTCTTGTCTTGTCTTGTGTGTCACTATGTCACACTCTTCACAATAATTGGAGACGCCTTTTTTCAGCAATGGAACGAGATGAAGAAGCAGAAGTTGAAGATACCTTTATAATAGTATTCTTGACGACATATCCAACTCCACCTGGCTTTGCTAGGTGCGCCATTTCGTAAGTATCCCGCGTAACTCCAAGAGTTGCTTCAGTCATTCCATAGCCTTGTAATACAGCTTTCAGCTTTGGAAATCTGTGATGCATTAATTTATTTTAATTTGATTTCAATAAGTTTTAATTTTTGTGCAGAAAACACAAATTTTAATGTTGGAGTGTTACTATGAAGAATATAATTTATAAAATACGCTCCTCAGGTCCACTTATTACATAACTGCTCAGGTCCGTATTTTGTGGCATTCCTTAGATGAGGGCTGTCTATGTTCAGCAGTATACTTGTAAAGGGTTGTAATGATAATAATGATAATATGTATGTAAGTAAATTAATAAATTTATAAAAATGGAAACATAATTTGTTATCAAAGCGCTTTCGTTTGTTTCCTTTCTTATACTTATTTATTAGCCCATTACAGTACACAGCTGAATATAGATCAGTGATAGTTTTATATCTAGCCAGTGATAGAATTAAATTTTAATAAAACTGACTACCCTCCCATAAGTAAAGATACACATGACACCAATTGGAATGATTATATGAACAAATATATTTTATTATAAGAAACATGTACCAACCAAAGTGGAAGAAATACGGAAATGTAACTGATTATTACACCGATGCTATGCATAAAGACCGATTTAAATCTCAATCACATAACTGCTATTCAAAATATATGACTAAGGTTAAAGACAGTGAAGACAGTGTTAGAAATAATGTAAAATATTTCTGCGTACTAGGACTAATATTCCTAACAGTGTAATTTGATTTAAGAGCTGGTAACCCAGATGATATATGTTGACTTTTTTCTTTATATTTTGAATCTGTGTTCGAAACATTCTGTATTCCACATGATTACGATGTAAATAGTCTTCCGGATACCAATCATAATCTCAACTTTATTATTAGCAATTTATTTATATAATTATTATATATTTTATTTTTATTTTTATATTCTTATTTATATCATTCTTAAGGAATTTCAAGCTTTAGATACCACAAAGGGTTCCGGCTAAGAAAATATTCTACCGGGTTTTCTTAGATTAACAGCTTCAATAATACATCAACCCGTAAAACATTTAAATAACATGTTGTTAAAAAAGGGGTTTTGCAACTGTCTGAAATAGATGTCGTAATAAATCTAATGTTGAAAGTTATCATCCTATATCAATTTTACCAAACCTTCTGGATAGACTTGTGCATAATAATATACATACGAGTACACGGTCAATTCATAACATTATTACCACCAACCTGTTCGGGAGTTTAAGGGAATTTTAAAATAATGCAACTTGAATGTTGTTTTGGACGATTGTATTGATCTTACAACAGCTGAGAGGGTAATAGCATATTGCAAAGACAAAGAATCTGTTTAAAATTAACGTTATGTACTGGCGTAATTACTATGAGTACGTTGTTTAACTCGTTGCTCAGAAAGAAGGCGCAGGCGCTTCAACACAACCTATATAGCCAATATATACAACGCACCTCTTTGAGGGTATCGATAATAATAAACAAACATATAGTATGTACACAGACTTTAGAAAAGCATTCCATCGAGTTGATCACAAGATATTACTGGTTAACCTTGCCTTCAGCGGTAGGTATCCATGGCAATTTGTAGTATTTTTTTATTCTATTTAAGTCCTATGTAATCAATTGCACACAGAAGGTTGTACTAAAGGGTTATGAACGTGAAGTTGTACCCATAAGCTCTGGAGTACCACAATTCTCAATTTTGCGCATTCATTAATAACATCATTAATAAGTAATAAAAATAGAGGGGGCCTCCCTTCCATTTTTATTACTTATTAATGATGTTAACGATTACGGTAGGCGAAGTGTAGGGCAATTCCCTACTAGATGGAGTGATGACCTGGCTCAGAACCGTGCTTTTTGGCATTCCTTGGGGGAGGCCTATGTTTGACAGTGGACTTGTGAAGGGCTGTAATGATATCGATGATGATGTTTACGATTGCTTCATATTCTGTAATTTTTTATTATATGCAGATGATTAAAAAACATTTTATACTATTGACAGTAATAGTGATCACGGTAGCTTTTAAAGTGCTCTAGATTGTTTTTCTATTAACTGTATAAGAAATAAGTTGTTAAGTATAAGCACCTTTACCAAAAAGAAAAAGAACAATCAGAGATCGCGGATTAATGTTGGACAGTAAGTTACACCTTGATATATACTCGTATAAAGACAATATAGTACGCTTATAAAATGTAATGAATTTGTCATAAATCCACCACAAAGTTTACACGACCTTCCTTAATTTTTATAAAACTTTAATTCGCTCTCAACTGGAATACGCTTCACCTATTTGGAATCTTTTTTATATCAAATATATCATAAATCTTGAAAACGTTCAAAAGAAATTTTTGTGTAGTATGCAATATAAATGTTTTCATAAACATTTATCCTACGAACAACTTCTTGATAAATATTACATACTAACATAAAATTAAGGCGAAAACAACTAGAAACAATGTTGCTTTATGATTTGTACCATAATACGAGTAGATACGATTGTATTCCTTCAATTGTTAAACTTTGTCATAAAATACCCATTAGGACACATTGCCGTAATCCTTGCCAAGCTGACAGAAACGGTATTACCGGCAGCGAGCGTTCCCCTCTGTATCGAATTGTACCATCTTACAATATCAAATTTAACTCCGTATATATAGCGTCATAACGTCCTAGTATTTTTAAAAAGCAAATTCTTGATTTGTTAATTAATTTAAGAGCCAGTGAGCGGCAGACTTACGGTATTTCAATAAGCTTCACGTTTTTTTCAGTTAATCCCCTATATCTGAGGTACATGACATGGGGACTCTTTTGTTTTACCTGCGGTTGATACAGAAACTTTCTTTCATAGTGGTAGAGCCACGCTGCAGCTATATTAGTAGTATAGTTGTAGCACGAATGGGTCGGCTCAACCGGGTAAGGACCACGTTCTCACAGTATAATACCAACGTAACGTAAAATAGCAGCTTAACTCTGCTGTGTTCCGTATGTTGAGTGTAGAGAACCGGAGACCCTTTTTACTGGAAATGAGGTATTCCATCTTAGTCCTCACAGGTGACAACGCATCTGCATTGTATTTTTAATAGAGGATAGATGTAGATGTCTATGGGCCGCAGCAACCATTTACCATCAGGTGGACTGTGTGCTCGTTTGTCACCATTATCCTATAAAAAAAGACACTCAGTTGTTAAATGTGTAAAAAATGACCAAAAAAAAAACGTGATAGTAATAAGTCTGCCGCTTTATCATCTTGAAATAATCAATAAAAGTTACCGAAAAATAACATTGGCAGACACCTAAGGCGGTCGCAAGGGTATGGCAGACAGGTTGACAAGTACAATTCTTTCTTAATAATTTACGTTATTTCAATAAAGCTTTAATTTATATATGTTGTGGGTAATATTATTTGACATATATGTTTTGCATGGCCGATATATATTACGGTTCCATCACCCAGGCAGGCAAAGAACTTTAGTAGAGTCCATAAGCGCGTACTATAGCACTCGCTCTAATCCAGTTTTTAGTTTAAATTAAAATTTCTATTACATCAATTAAAATACTTGCTTTCCACTGTTCTTTAGTATTAGCCATCATCATCATTACAGCCCATCACAAGTCCACTGCTAAACATAAGTCTCCTCCAAGGAATGCCACAAAGCACTGTACTGAGCCACCTGAATCGACTGTATCGACTTCCCGCATACCAGTTCGTCACTCTATCATCTAGTAGGGATCGTCTTACACTTCGCCTACCGGTACAAGGCTGCCACTCGAAAATCCTTTTTTCCCAATCGGTTGTCGGTTCTTCGGGCTATATGGCCGCCTCGTTGCCACTTCAGCTCACTAATCCGTTGGGCTGTGTTGGTCACTCTGGTTCTACTGCGGGTATTCTGCGGAAACTCCCTGAATCGAAAAGATGATGTTCCACATTCCCCAGTGTTTTTGAAAATCTATCTAACGTTTCCCCACATGATGGAATAGACGGGTAAAAAAATCATCCTCCATTTATTTGTATGGGAAGTACCCAAAATAAAAATGTTTTTAAAGACTTTATTTCACAGTTTTATAGGCGTGATTAATATCTATAACAATGCAAAATTACAGATTTGTAGCACCTAAGGTCTCTGAGTAAAACTTCGGAAGGATGTACAGAAGGACGAACGGACGGACGGACCGACGGACCGACGGACCGACGGACCGACGGACGGACGGACGGCCATGGCGAAACTATAACGGTTCCTTGTTGTGTATCTACGAAACCCTAAAAAAAGACTGGATTAGAACGAGTGCTATAGTACGCGCTTATGAAGATTGAAGTTCTTTGTCTGCCTGGGTAATAGAACTTCAATATATGTCTGCCATGCAAAACATATATGTCAAATAATATTATCAACAACATATATAAATTGCAGCTTTATTGAAATAACGTAAATTATTAAGAAAAAATTGTACTTGTTAACCTGTCTGCCATAACCTTGAGACCGCCTTAGGTGTCTGCCAATATTATTTTTCGGTAACTTTTATTGAGTATTTCAAGATGACAAAGCGGCAGACTTATTACTATCAAGTTTTTTTTGGTAATTTTTTACACATTTAACACCTGAGTGTCTCTATTTTTTTTTATAGGATCGAGTGACAAACGAGCACACAGTCCACCTGATGGTAAGTGGTTGCTGTGGCCCATAGACATCTACATTTATCCTCAATAAAGAATCAAAATGCAGATGCGTTGTAACTCGTGAGGACTAAGATGTAATGACTCTTTTCCAGTAAAAAGGGTGTCCGGTTCTCTACACTCACCATACAAAACACAGCAGCATTAAGCTACTATTTTACGCTGATTTTTAGCTTCCCCGGTCGAGCCGACCCATTCGTGCTACAACTTATAGCTGCAGCATGGCTTTACACGTAATAAAATAAATATATTAAAACGTAATATAATAAATGTCTCTATATAGACCGCCGGTCAAACAAAAGGTCCCTATTTCATGTACCTCAGGTATAGGGGATTAACTGAAAAAAACGTGAAGCTTATTGAAATACCGTAAGTCTGCCGCTCACTGACTCTTAAACAAAATGTAAATGCACTAGCTATCAAGTTATCACGTGTTTAAATAATCATTTATTTCTGTATGTACACTATGGTAAATGTTGTTGGTGCCACAACTGTTACGATTGTTTTTATCATCTTTGTTGTTCAAATATTTTATGTTGTCATTGTATATTTACCATAAGAAAAAAATACAGAACTCTTCTATTATAATGAGGATTTGTCCAGGATGATTCCACCAGTCCAGCATGAACTGGTGGAATGATGTTTCGCGGTTTTTACGCTGTTTCCCGTCGTCAGTTGACAGTCGATATTTTCCATCATCTATGATCTATGAAATAAGCGTCCCTTACGACTAAAGAGGTTTATAAATTATTTTACTCTGCTAAAATACGATAACAATACATTGTTTCTACTTCTTCTTCATTAGTTCATAACAGTTTTAATCTGGGCATGGAACTCTCCCGTTGAAAGAAGAGCTTGTTATAATCGACACGCTATGCAGGCGGAGTGTTGATGGCTGTACTAGATGTGTCCAACTTTTAAAGTGGCTCTTCGTTCTACATATGTATTGTACAAGATAGTAGTATTATCGCCATCTAGCCGAAACTATAAGATTATTCTGGCATTTCCCATAGACGGCACTTATATCTACTACATTAATATCAGTATTTTGTTATGGTGGATATACATCCACCATAACAAAATACTGATATTAATATAGAATTGCGAAAATGGAAGTAAATGAGTTGTTAGTGACGCCTATGTCCTCAACACTGACACGTACACGCAAATAAAAAATTATTACAAAGACACCATAATACCTTTTTCGTACAGCATTAATAGTATCGCTGTGGAGTGGTGATCCACCGGAGTACATCAGTTTGATCGAACTGACATCATGATAGGATTGATGTTTGCAAAGCGCGACCAGTAACGCCGGGACCACAGTTAGCTGGCTAATCTGTTACAAAAAAATAGACAATTCTTTAAACTATTTTATAACTGCATTTAATAATCTCCCTATTTTCACATCACCAGCCTCTGATGGGTCTCTCTTATAAAAGGGACAATTATCCGAAATTACCACGTTCGGCGATCACAGTATCAGATATTTCTCTTTTGTGGGGATCCATATCAAATATATCAAATATATACAATATTTGATATAACTTATTTTAAAATTGCCGTGTAGTGGCGGTCAAGAATATCCACTACCCCATATCCTCCCGTGGGTGTCGTAAAAGGCGACAAAGGGAAACAGCCAGGAGATGGGCAGCAGCATCTTCCTGATAATAGCCAAATGACAATAAAAAAAAACTGCGGTTGCCAACCCGCTCGCCAAGCGTGGCAACTATGGCAAATACCCCCCAATGATGAGAGCAACAAAAAAACGGCCCCCAGTCCCCGGCGGCCCCGCTATTCCTGGCTACGGTGGCGACCATGGTAACGGCGGGGCAGGGGGTGCTAAGAATCTCCGGTGGAGGTTCGGTTGCCACCTTAGACGACTCGACCTGGCAACGTACAACGCACGCACCCTGAGGACTGACGAGAAGATCGTGGAGCTGGAAGAAGAGATAGACAAGTTGCGCTGGCATATTATAGGATTATCTGAAGTCCGGAGAGAGGGGGAGGACACGGTAATCCTCGAATCCGGCAACTTGCTCTATCACCGGGAGGGCGACCATCTGTCCCAAGGAGGTGTCGGATTTATCGTCCACAAGTCTCTCGTTAACAACGTTGTAAACATCGGGAGTGTGTCGACGAGGGTTGCGTACCTTATACTCAGAATCACCAAACGGTATTCGCTGAAGGTCATACAGGTTTACGCACCAACCTCGGCACACCCCGATGAGGAGGTGGAGGAAATGTATGAGGATATCTCTAGAGCCATGCATTCCTCCAAAACCCAATATACGGTGTTAATGGGAGACTTCAATGCAAAACTAGGCACAAGAGAGAACGGTGAACTGAAAGTAGGGAAATTTGGAATAGGGCAACGGAACCCAAGGGGCCAGCAGCTGGCCGACTTCATGGAGAAAGAGGGACTCTTTATGATGAACTCTTTCTTCCAGAAGCGGCCCCACAGGAAGTGGACCTGGTCGAGCCCCGACGGTTCCACAAAAAATGAGATTGACTTCATTATGACGACCAGACGACAACTGTTCAGTGATGTCTCCGTGATCGCGAGGGTGAAAACTGGTAGCGATCACCGAATGGTTAGAGGCACACTGAACCTAAACGTTAAGTTGGAGAGGTCTCGTCTAATGAAGTCAACGCTCCGTCCCCCTCGTGCTCTGTTTCAAAGTCCCGAAACCTTTCAGCTCGAGTTACAAAACCGTTTTCAGTGCCTAGAAGACTGCAATGAAGTGGACGATATGAATGACAAGCTCGTGGAAACTGTCCATGCGGTTGGAGCTGAGTTCTGCAAGACCCGCCGCAGAAGAACACAAAAACTCTCCGATCACACTCTTAATCTCATGGCTGTTAGACGGGAGATGAAGCTACATTCTTCAACAGACTTGACAGCATACAGGCATCTGAACAGACAGATCTCCAAATGCATGCGGCGGGACTTACGCAACTTCAATACAGCTCGTATTGAAGAAGCGATCGAGCGGAACCAAGGCTCCAAAGTCTTTGCCAGATCTCTGTCTGCCAGAAAGAGCCAACTGTCAAAGCTGAAGACAGAATGTGGCAGCATCGTTTCCGGGACACCTGAGATTTTGAGTAAGATTGAGAGGTTCTATGGGCAGCTGTACACATCATCGTTGGAGCCACACGCAAGTGTGAGTAACGATCCAAGAGCGAGTCTCATCCGACACTATTCCGAAGATATCCCGGATGTCAGTCTGAGCGAGATTAGGATGGCTCTCCAGCACCTTAAAAACGGTAAGGCCCCAGGCGAGGATGGAATTACAGCGGAGCTTCTGAAAGCGGGTGGAAGACCGGTACTTGAAGTCCTTCAGAAGCTCTTTAATTCCGTCCTCCATGGTGGCATTACACCGGAGGCGTGGAGCAGAAGTGCGGTGGTCTTGTTCTTCAAGAAAGGTGACAACGCTCTTTTGAAGAACTACAGACCGATTTCCCTTCTGAGCCGCGTCTACGTGCTGTTTTCGAGAGTCATTACGAATCGTCTCGCGCGCAGACTTGACGACTTCCAGCCTCCCGAACAAGCCGGTTTTCGAAAGGGCTTTAGCACCATAGACCACATACATACCCTTCGGCAAGTTGTACAGAAGTCCGAAGAGTACAATTTGCCACTATGTCTGGCGTATGTGGACTATGAGAAAGCCTTTGATTCCGTCGAAATTTGGGCGGTGCTGCAGTCCCTTCAGCGGTGCCAAGTTGACTGTCGGTATATCGAAGTGTTGAAGTGCTTGTACAGTAGGGCTACGATGGCTATCCGAGTACAGAACCAGAGTACGAAACCTATCCAATTGCAGAGAGGTGTAAGACAGGGTGACGTCATATCCCCGAAACTCTTCACCGCTGCATTGGAAGACGTTTTCAAGCTTCTGGACTGGAAAGGATACGGTATCAACATCAATGGCGAGTACATCACTCACCTTCGATTTGCCGACGATATAGTCCTTATGGCAGAATCGCTGGAGGACCTAAGCACTATGCTCAATGACCTCAATAGTGTTTCCCAACGGATAGGTCTTAAGATGAACATGGACAAAACTAAGATCATGTTTAATGTCCATGTCACACCTATGCCGATAGTTGTTGGGAACACTAAGCTCGAAGTTGTTGACGAGTATGTTTACCTGGGACAAATAGTCCGACTGGGTAAGTCCAACTTCGACCGAGAGGTCAATCGACGGATTCAACTCGGCTGGGCAGCGTTCGGGAAGCTACGACACATCTTCTCGTCAGACATACCTCAAAACCTTAAAACGAAATTGTACAACCAGTGCGTGTTGCCAGTGATGACTTACGGAACTGAGACGTGGTCCTTCACTGCTGGCCGTATGAGGAAGCTCAAGGTCGCTCAGCGAGCTATGGAGAGGGCTATGCTCGGAGTTTCTCTGCGTGATAAACTTAGGAATGAGGATATCCGCAGTAGAACCAGAGTGACCGACATAGCCCAACGGATTAGTAAGCTGAAGTGGCAGTGGGCCGGCCATATAGCTCGAAGAACCGACAACCGATGGGGAAGAAAGGTTCTCGAGTGGCAGCCTCGTACCGGTAGGCGAAGTGTAGGGCGTCCCCCCACGAGATGGAGTGACGACCTGGTAAGACATGCAGGAAGTCGATGGATGCAGGTGGCTCAGGACCGTGTTTTGTGGCATTCTTTGGGGGAGGCCTATGTTCAGCAGTGGACTTGTGAAGGGCTGTAATGATGATGATGATGATGATTTTAAAATCGGAGATATCCTACATTAAGAGCTCGCTCTAAAATATGGTTACGTGGTTTAGAAACTGCCTCATCATAAATACATGCCGGAAGCCATGTTCAAAAATGACGGGGCCAGGCTCTACTGGGCCCGGGCCATCACCACAGACCAAACAATTCTAGCGAATAAGCCTGATATTGTGTTGATAGATCGGGCACAGTCAAGGAAATTTTTGTCAACATTACCATTCCGTATGACGAGAACCTCTCGTGAAAGCTGCAACTAGCAACCAAAACATCTGAACTTGGCGCACGAGGGACCAACATAGGAACCCCCGAATGAAATGTTTCCGTAGACGTTTCTGGGAACAGATTGATCGCGGTTAGGTCGCTGGTCCTCGTCCGCGGCGGTCTTTCCCATTCCCTATATCCCTAGACCATTTGGTCTTCACCCAGAGGATGAAATGAGGTGATTTATTCTCTTACGTCGTCACCACACGGCAACACGGCAGAGCTTTCTCTGTATGGGTTATAGATACTGTGAATTCATCCATTCAATTCCAAAAAGACAAGTGGTAAAATTAAAAATTTTGTACAACCGACTTCAATATAAATAAAATGAGAATGAGTCGAAGTCAATTAAATACTCATTATTAAGGATAACTCAAAAACTACTAGTCATTCCAACACATTTATATAGGGTCAAACGAGAAGCGTCAACTTCCAAATAAAAAAAGAATCATCAAAATCAGTTTACCTTAAAATAAGTTCTGAGGTACTTTCAAAAAAACAGTTGAATTGAGAACCTACTCCTTTTGTTGAAGCCGGTTGATAAACTGACTCTCCTTTCGTGTTCTAAATCTTTTTCATTACCTTATACAGTTCAATTGTATTTAAGTACGACTCCATATCGAACTTTTGCAGATAGACGAGTGTTATGCCTTTTGAGAAACACCGCAATGTACCAATCATCCCCATCGCGTGATACCAAGGAGCGACTATAAGCATTGATGTATCTGCGTCGAAAGAAGAAGGCCTGAAACATATTTTAGGAAGTATTAAGTATTATTACATTCTTTGTTAATTCCCTGCTGGATATAGGTCTTTACAAAATACGTCAAATGCAAAACTAGAACGATATCTCCAATACTACGTAGTACTGTTACTTATTCTGTGCCCATACTCACACGTTGGACAGGAAGGTTCGATATTGCAGAGCCGATATCATCACACCAGTGATACTGCGTGGGATGAGAATATATAATTTTTTGTTGTCGGGTAGTATCACAGCACCGTTGGTTAAATAATAGGAAGGTATTAATATTCCCTCCTATCCTCCCACTCGTATAGGAGAGATTAGCATTTGGAAAATACATCTATTATCTTATTACAACTCCCTAATAGGTAACCTATCCAACTCATTTCCATCTGTTCGTGAAGTTTCGTACAGTTAGTCCGGATAGACAGAACGACATAAAACTATAAATGTTTCCTCATGTCTCAATAGCTCTTAAGCTCAATAAAAAGCTAAATTCAATTTTGTTAATCAATTGAATCAGGCGTTGCTTTGCTGAAATCTATTCTCTGCGGTTAAGTGAAAGCTTAGCGGCTAACTACCGCAGAGTATACTATACCTGAGGATGCCTTGTGTAGAGGCGAAACACGTGTCGTATTATCGTCGGTGGTGTATCTTTCCTAGTTTAGTGGTGGTGGGAGTAGTGGAGATGGGATTATTGGTGACGGGGATAGTGCACGCAATTGAGGGAGGGCGGGAGGTGCTCTTCAAACTAGGTAAGACACATCATTTTGTTCTATTGAGCGGATATAGGCATAGTAAATTTTACCCAAAATTGTCTATTATAGATGTATAGATAATAACACTTTATAACTAAAAGATGTTAAGCACTTATGATAGTTAAAAGAATATGAAAATTACGTATTAGCTTATTACCTATACCACATAATGCAACGAAACTAAACGTTAAACGTCATAACGAAGCCAACCACGAATCGAACCAGAATTACACAGTCGCATTGGATCCGGAAAAAAACACCTATCCATATTGGTAACGGTAAGTAGCGTCAAAGATATGAGACTTAGGCCTGTATTAATAAACATTACTCAACGATGAACTCAAGTGCGTAATCATTTGATACGCTCTCATTACGATATCAGCATCTCAAGATCGTTGCTAATTAATAACCACAAAAACAGTATCTCAAAACACTGTACTCTTACGTGGTAGAGCCACGCTGCAGCTATATTAGTAGTATAGTTGTATCACGAATGGGTCGGCTCGTCGGGGAAGGACCACGCTCTCACAGAGTACCAGCGTCAAATAGCAGTTTAACACTGCTGTGTTTCGTATGGTGAGTGTAGAGAACCGGAGACCCTTTTTACTGGCAAAGAGGCATTCCATTTTAGTCCTCACGTGTGACAACGCATCTGCATCTTGAGTCTTTATTGATGATAGATGTAGATGTGTATGGGTCACAGTAACCACTTACCATCAGGTGGACTGTGTGCTCGTTTGTCACCCTATCCTATAAAAAAATCCCCCTTTACACTTGCCTGCCAGAGGCCCCTTTCTTGCCACGGCATGATATATAACAGGGATTTTGGAAGAAATTTTAACAATGAAAGAAAGAAGTGTTTCGTATGGTAAGTGTAGAGAACCGGAGACCCTTTTTACTGGAAAAGAGGCATTCCATCTTAGTTCTCACGAGTGACAACGAATCAGCGTTTTGATTCGCAAACGAAGATAAATGTAGATGTCCATGGGCCATAGCATCCACTTACCATCAGGTGGACTGTGTGCTCGTTTGTCACTCGATCCTATAAAAAAAAACTTAGGAATACTGTTCTGTGACTTACACTCAAGTACACACACTTGAGAGTCGAGTTTCGTTTATTAATCAGTGTGGCACTCAGCTGATATCGTAAACCTAAACCGTATCTTGAGATATGTTTATTAATAAGATCATAACCTCAATAATGTACAATACAGTATGTGAGCTGAGTAACGTTTATTAATATGGGCCATAGACTAGTAGGTACTGCGATCGTAAATAAACCTGCCAAGCGTAATGATTATAGCATATCCTCCCTACAACAGGAGATTATTATTTCCAGAGGTGGACTTTTGCCGGCAGATGGTGATGAAGAAAAAAAACTATAACCAGTGGTTTGTAAAGCGGGATATGAAGCAATACATTATTTACTTTATCCTTCACCTGCCAACCTTTCTTTGACGCTTTGCACCACTGAAATATATTGAACCTAACCAACTGGTGATGATGAGAGCAGCATTACTAAAACGAGGCTAATTGTGTTCTGCACTCTAATGGCTTCAACGCCCACCAGCCCGCCTGTTCAGCATGGTGAGTAAAGGCGCATCTGTTCTTTCAAGCAATGCTTCTTTGAAATATTCCAAAAATGACCTATATTTTTAGCAATGAATTGTAAAAATAGGTGACAGAATAGAAGAAATAAGTATTTACGTATTTCCAATGGTTAATCGTAAATTGCTCAAAATTTTTTTGCTCTTTGAAAATATTTAGTTACGGTGTTATTAATCGTTGTTTAAATTATTAAGTATTAATTATTTCTGTACGTGTCTCCCTCTATTTTCATTGAATGAAAAGAGAAATATCACAATTTAAAGTATGCTAATTCCACCTTGCAACGTTGTGCTCAGTAAAAAGACGTGCACGGAAGCCAACTGGTGGACCTTGATTTGGTTTAAAAATAAATTATCTTTTCTTTTAAATAAGTTACCCTTACACTAGGATTTTCTGCTGTATCATGGAGGCAGTTCAAAAAATAGATTTCACAAGGACAAATATCCAAACTCAGAACAATTATTTGTATATTCTTCACCACTAATCCCATCTTCATACTAGGTAAGGCACATCATTTTATTTTATAACGCGGATATTAGCGAAGTAAATTTTTCTAAAAGCTTTTATATAATGGATTTCCGCAAAGTAACCCCTGATTCTATTAATTAGATCAAAATAATACAAAACCGGCAAACCCCGCTTACGATGCAATCTATGGGGGAGGTGTTATGTTTTTCAGTGGACTCATAAAGGCTGGATGAATTCACCTGTTCAGCAAATTGACACCAAGTTGTACTTTTTACTATGTCCGCGTGATGAAATTCAGATTTTCCAATTTCATTGACTGTTAAATATTTAAAAAAAATCTTACATATTACACGCAGCCAATACATTCAAATGAGTCTGCATAACGCCTTTCGGTAAGCCGGATGTCCCTGATGAATATAATATAAAAAGGGTATCCGTTTCACCCTTCACGTCAACCGATTTAAATTCTTCAAAGGTTACACGTTTTGCTGTTGTTAAATCATCATATAACAATGCACCATTTTGTTTTCTTTCGCCAAATAAAATTATGTTTTTCACTTCGACAAACGATTTTAAATAAGTTTCATGGACACTGTATGCTTGAGGAGAGCAGAACACATATTTCGGTTTTAATATACCCATCACATGTTTAAGTTCATCTGAAAAGAAAGTAACCGTGTAGTGGTGATGGAAGACTATCCGCTACCTCAAAAAATCCCGTGGGTTTAGCATCTTCTCGATTACAGCTGAATAAAAAAAACTGTGGTTGCCAACCCGCCATTATTTTCAGCAGTGGACTTTTGATAGGTTGTGATGGTAAATGGAAAAGAAATAAAACTTTTGACTCCAGGTGCTCATAAAAATAATAATCTGCTAATATTTTACTAGGCGATAGGACCTAGTCCGGCTGAGTAGGTACAACTCTATTCTCTATTTCTGCTGTTAGGCATTTGTACGTACACTTCATATAGTTAATTAACTGCCTAGTTGGTCTAGTGGTTGTTGTAGTGCGACTGCTGATCATGGGGTCGCGAGTTCGAATGCCGGGTCGGGTCAAAATATCAGTTATTGAGTTTTTCCATCAAGAAATTCTCAGCAGCTGCCTGTAGTCAGATTTTCCATCAAGAAATTCTAGTAGCATAGAATTTATTATTAATTTAATTAGTATAAAAACTTTTTCATATCGTAAAAATGAGCCATGTTTGTGTCGAACCTCATGCTATCACATAAAATTTAGTTCATTAGAGTATGTTGGGACACTAAAACAACCTAAAATAAAATAAAAAATCAAAATATCGACTGCAAAAAAAATTTAAAAGTAATGCACTAAAAAGACCGAAACAAGATTGAGAATAAGAAGAAGAAAAGAATTGAGAGAGATTGAGAAAAATTATTAATGCGGGTATTTAACTTAGGCTAAGTTAAATACCCGCATTCAGTTTAGTAGCTGGCGTCACCCAATTGCAAATTGTAAACCGAAAGAAAATGGGTTCCGCTCCTCACTCATAGGCAAGGGGGTGAGACACCGCCAACTTTCTGACTTCGGGCAGCTACTGAGATTTTCTTGATGGAAAAACTCAATTACTGATATTTTTCGAAATCCCCTTTTAATTTACTTTATTTTGATACCCTACTCGATAGTGTTTAACAGTGGTAGAGTCACGCGGCAGCTTTTGCTGTCGCACGGATGGGCCGGCTCGAACCGGGGTAGTACCACGACCTCACAGAAAACCAGCGTGAAGTAGAGGTTTACCTCTGCGTTTCGCTTGGTGAGTGCAGGTGGCCGGAGGCCCTTTTTACTGGAAATGAGGCATTCCATCTTAGTCCTCACTCACGGGTGACAACGCATCTACATTTTGATTTGTAACAGAGGATAGATGTAGATGTCTATGGGCCGCAGCAACCACTTACCATCAGGTGGACTGTGTGCTCGTTTGTCACCGTCATCCTATAAAAAAAAAGAGGTTACGTTTTTTTTTATTAACCTATTACTATTTCGCGCCAAAAATCCGCTATTGTTTTTTCAAACATCTATCTATGAACATTTGGGTTTTAAGACAAATATAAAGATGCCGCAACTGCGGTTTGGAAGATACGAGGTAATAAAGAAATTTACGAACATACATACATACAAAATACGCGCGAAAAACATAACCCTTCTTTGGCAGTCGGGGAAAAAGGCGGAATGCTACAAAGCACGGTCCGGAGCCACCCGCATCCATCGACTTCCTGCATCTCTTACTAAATCGTTACTCCATCTAATAGTGGGCCGCATTACTCTTCGTTTACCGGTACTAGGCTAGGAATATGGTCGGCCCATTGATACTTCAGCTTACTGATGATGACGACATAAATTACTCATTGGAGTTGCTAACGCTTATTTTTTTCATTACCTTTAGTATATCCAGGATTAAAAGTTGTAAGAACGGCACCAGTACAAGCAATTCCAATGACAGTGGGCCAAAACTCTCTTCTATTCTCTGAGCATAGAGCCACCACTTCTCCTTTCCGTAGACCGAGATGAGTCAGTGCTACTGCTAGATTCATGGCTTCTTGGCTTATCTCACCACAAGTCAGAGTGTCGTTTGTTGATCCATTGATCTGCATTGTTAATTTTTTATTAGTATTCTATTTACAATTTACATTGTTCAAACAGATTTATATTCGACTAGCTCAAATAGCAAAATTAGATCATGGGATTTTCTATTTTAGCACTAAACCAAAATATATTGTGAATATGAGCCATTTTTGGTTTATAAACATAGAATGTGTTAATAACTTGATTATTAACTCGAAAAAGTTAACTTGAGCTCTAAATTTACTAGAAGACTGGCGAATGCAGTCTTGCACTAGATGTCGCTTTTAGTCATCATCAGTACATACTGCTACAATAGTTAGTTCATCTTCTTTTCATTGCAGCTCGCAATGTGATGCGGTATTGTAATCTCATCAAGCGATAAATTTATAATTATCTCATTTTATAATGACATAAACAAAAGAAAGGGGTTCAGTATCACAGAACAATCTTTACAATTATTCCATTACTATAAATAATGAAAGTGTACTTAAAGTATTTCTTGCGTAAAATTGTACTTACCAATATATTCTTGTCTTTGTTCTGCCATAACTTATTTAGGATGAATTCACCAAAATTTAGATAGGCTGGAACAGTGAGATCACTGTCACCATAAACATAGTAAGAATTTTTTATCATTCTTCTATATATACTCAACTACGTACTCTGAATACGTAAACTAAAATGCTAAATGAAAATATTAACAATATCTTTACCTTACATTATCTTAAAAACATTACTGAGTTATCTCACATAATTTGTGGTAGATAACAAGAATGAATACTCTGTTAGGTACCTACTGTGTAGTTTACTTTGCAATTGAGTTGCTGTATTTAATTTTTTTTTGGCTTAAAAAATTAAAACTTAATTATACAATGTTTCAAAAAAATATAAAAAGTGTTTATGGTACGAAAGAGTAGAATATTTATGCATGATTTGATAAAGCAACAAAATCCGAAAAAAAAAAATAACAAGCAGAAGTGTAGACTATAGCATCCCATTGCTATTTTTTTATAGGATAGGCTGACAAACGAGCACACAGTCCACCTGATGGTAAGTGGTTACTGTGACCCATAGACATCTACATCTATCCCCAATAAAGACTCAAGATGCAGATGCGTTGTCACCCGTGAGGACTATGATGGAATGCCTCTTTGCCAGTAAAAAGGGTCTCCGGTTCTCTACACTCACCATACGAAACACAGCAGCGTTAAGCTGCTATTTTACGCTGCTTTTCTGTGAGAGCGTGGTCCTTCCCCGGTCGAGCTGACCCATTCGTGCTACAACTATACTACTAATATAGCTGCAGCATGGCTCTACCACGTAAAAAGCTAGGCACAGTGTCTTCTCATTTCTGAAGTTATGAAGGAAAAAATTGCTATTGTGCCCTTCGACGGACTGGCAAACTGTCTACTTTCAAGGCCCTTTAGTATTTTAAATCACATTTGAAAAAGTCTCGATAGACGTGACATGTCCATGAACACATCTTTATACTAGAATTTATTTAGTAAAATGGTCTCCAGCCCTCTACTCTCACCATACGAAACTTAGTACCATTAAGCTGCTATTTTACGCTGGTATTCTGTAATAGCGTAGTTCTTCCCTGGTCGAGCCAACCCATAGTAACATAGCATAGCTGCAGCGTGGCTCTACAACGTGTAAACTCTTCTGAGGATGTGATCTTAAATCTTCACTAGACTTGCAATAACAATTGATGCAGACAATACTTTTTACATCGCATCTTTTGACGCATTTTAAGAAGAAGAGCACAAACCTATGTTTATAAGGCAGTTATAGGTATATGGAACTTTGTGCTGTTCCGAACGTGACGCTCGTAATAATACACAAATATATTTACAACAAAGTTACTTTTCGTGCCTTTGCATTAACAAAATTTTTAACAACGCCACTGACTTCAATTTTGATTTCATGTTCAATACTTATTAACGATAAATATGTCAATCTACTTTGCGATGATGTAGATCTAAGATAGTTTTTAATTATTTTTAGTTTAAAAAATGATCTTTCGCTGTGACCTACAGTGACAAGCAATGTGAGGTAAATTCTCAGTCAGAGAGACGGATTAAATGTCGACAGCGCCCTAGGCCTCATCGGCCTCATCGGCGCCCCTCTAGTGGCCATATATTATAAATTACAAATACCCCTTTTTGCAAATAAAATATATTATAATTTATAATATAGTTTATAGTTGCAAAATAATTAGGACACGAGTACCCTTAACAGGTGAGCGTGAATGAAAAATGTGATGAGGGAGTGTGGGCGATGTAAGAGTAATCAAATGGACGAATTTTGTTTCGTTTTAAAACTTCAGCGCGCGTTCCGTTTTAACCTTGTGCCTAGCCACGTGCCTAATTTGCCTTAAGGATAATCCGACACTGAGTGGCTAGTAAGAAATCTTTCAATGCGACACTGAGTGGCTAATAACTGCTCGAAGAAACAAATTTTCCATGAGGCGCGAATAACTACACAACCGGTCGATGAGGTAGGCTTTCATCCGCGTGTAGCTTTAACAATAGAATTAACTGCATTTTTTGTCGATATCAGACTTTCATACCAAAGAAAACCTAAGTCGCTTTATGGCAACAGTGAGCAGACATTTTGTAGGACAATGCATATCATGTTTCTTTAATGATCTTGAACCTTATAAACACTTATTAAAAGTGATTTATTATTCAAAATTTTACGTTGTCCATAATTAAGACAATAATGTAATTACATTATTAGTTTTTATACTTATCGACAGTATAATACTCCTATAAAACTTTTTAGTAACTAGTGGGATGCGGGAAGTAAAGACTGTGTAAGAACATCCGAATGAGGCGGAGTTATAGCCGAAATAAGAAAAATAATTTTTTGGTGATCGTCCATTTTGACCTTACCTTAGATGTGTAATGAGACTTTTTGCCCCTATTCAACCATAACCCCCATGACATCCTCTACATGATAGGCTATTCCAACTGACTAGCCCTAAAGTTCGAGTCACTCCCAACTCATTTCTAATAGTCCTTACTTCCAAATTACTTCCAACAAGATTTCGCGTACATAATATTACAAGTATTTTTTACCTTTAGAAACATAAAAAAGTAAAATACTTCATAAAAATGTCGTCAACGTCAAATAAGCAAATTACTAAAAATCCATCCTGTAATGTCTGCTATCTTCTCTAATCCTTGTAGTGTAACAAAGGCTCGACACTCACTTAACTAAACACGTCCACTCTCGCCCGAGGCTCTCGTGTAACTGACGCGGTGCGCTCGAGACAGTGACTTATATATAAATGTATGTTTGTGTATTTGTGCATGGTAAATTATTAGTAAATAAAACAAATATCAATATTTACTGTATACTACATATATGCAAACACTACATCTCTTTCTTATCAAGATTTTTTCTTTTTTTCATTATAACTCATAACAATCACAAAGCAGCTTGTATTGTCTGTATTAATTATTTTCCACTGCTATTACGTAAACCTTATCTCCCTGTATTATATCTGAGTGAGTTGCTCTGCGTTTCCTATATACATACTCTTTTCCTTTTTCTTTTTGTATTTTGTCTCTATCCCTGATATTTGAATCTAAATGATTGTCTGTAATTTATTTCACCTATTGATAGAATTTTATCCCTACTTTTTCGTTGAAAAAACAGTTCAGACGGTAACCTCATTATATTAGAAGATACTCCCACAAACATTCTTTTAAATACTTCCTCTCGATCTGGCTGATACGAAGACGTTTCAAAATATCTCTGTTTTGTCTTTCAACTTCGCCGATCATTTGAGGCCAATATGGTACAGTACTAAATAACTTAATGTTACATTCTTTGCAGAAAGATCGAAACTCTTCACTAACGAACTGCTTGCCATTGTCTGCGGTAATAGAAATAGGATAACCAAGTCTACTGAACATTTATTTTACCATTTTAATAATCTGTAAGCTTGTGATGTTTTTGTAATTGTTTACTTCTTTGTATCGACTATAGTAGTCGACCACTACTAACAGATACTCGTTACTTGGCAATGGTCCCATTAGATCCATTGTGACATCTATCCATGGAGCTGCAGGCAACTCTGTCTCTTCATTGGTGCAGTTGGGTTTGGCAAACCCACTAACGTACAACCTTTACAGGCCTTTAATAATTGTTCTACGTCTTTATCGATACGGGGCCACCATACCTTTGATCTCAAGCGTCCCTTCATCGCTACGATACCCTCGGATGCAGCATCTAATACACTCTTGGAGAGTTGCTGTGGTATTACAATTTTATTTCCACGAAGTAGAATGCTACCATGGAAACACAACTCGTTTACAAAAAATTTGTAACTCTTAATCGAATCATCCCAGTCGTTCTGATATACACCTTTTTTCACTTTGTAAATCTCTTGGTCTTTTTCTGAATATGCTACAATGGAACTCATTGGTATAGCAACTGGTCTAGAATTTTCCACTATTTGGTACACATGCTGGTCTTTTCCTTTTGGTGGGTTATCAGGATAGTTACATAACACGATTATAGCTAAAGTACTAAACTAGCTTAAACAAATATAGCTGATCCCTTGTCACGACAAGGGATCAGCTATATTTGTTTTTCCTGGCTTGTATATAACCTTGAATGAATAAGACTGTAGCCTCAGTACCCATCGTTCAATCCTCGCACATGGTTTTGACTTAGACCCGAACAATATCTCTAGCGGCTTGTGGTCAGTGATTAAATCAAAAGGCTTTCCAAATAAAAATATTAAAATGTTCGACCCCCCAAACTAATGCTAGTGCCTCTTTTTCCATTTGGCTATACCTGCGCTCGCAGTCTGTCAAAGTTCGATTACCATAGGAAATAATTCGAGGGCCATTTGTATCATTTTGTACAAGGACAGCACCAAGTCCGACAGGGCTAGCATGTGCTATCACCTGTTTTGCATCTCTGACGTCATAATACCCTAAAATCTCTATTTCCGTGAGCATCCGTTTGAGTTTTTGGAATGCTTTATCTTGTTCCCCAGACCATTGTTTTTCCAAGCTCTCCCTTTTGCTCATTTTCTGTCTTAACAGGTGCTTCAGAAGTTCTGTCATGGCGGCCAAGTTAGGTATCCATTTGTTGATGTAGTTTAAGAGTCCTAAAAAACTTTGGAGTTCTTCTATGGTCTTTGGGACCCTAAATTTTATAATGCTCTCAACGTACTTGTTGAAGGGTTTACTCCTTCATGTGTAAGCCTGTGTTGCAGAAAATTCACATTCTGCGTTTTGTATATGCATTTATTGCTATTCAGCACGGCGTTGTTTTTACTAAGTACCTGTAGAACTTTTTTTAGTCATGCGTCATGTTCTTCTTCACTGTTCCCGAATACCAGGATATCATCAATAAAATTGACGACCCCTTCACAGTTTATCAGCATCCTTTCAATGATCTTCTGAAAAATCTCGGAAGCGCAGGTAATTCCAAGCATTATTCTTTTATATCTATATAATCTTTTGGTGGTTATAAAAGTCGTTATGTGTCTGGATTCAGCACTCTGAATCCAGACACATAACGACTTTTCGAAAAAATGCCTTTTAACGAAAAAATGCCTTCCATCAAGTGGAAATTCACTGAATTTCCACTTGATGGAAGGCATTTTTTAT